CTCAGAGTTAATTCTGGGGGTGCCGTTTCTGCAGAGACCCCAAAGGTGATGCTGAGTAGCAGGAAGGAGGTGGAGGATGGGATGGAGACGCACATCTGCTGCATGGATGGCTTCTACCCCAGGGACATCGATGCCACCTGGAGGAGGGATGGGGAGGTCTGGCTGGAAGAGACCTTCCATACGTCTGTGGCCCCCAACGCGGATGGGACCTACCACTACTGGATGAGCATCCAGATCGACCCCAAAGAGAGGAGCCGCTATCGGTGCCACGTGGAGCACGACGGCCTGCAGGAGCCTCTGGACATGGAGCTGAAGGGTGAGAAGGCTGCAGGGAGGGAAAGGCTGGGCTGTTTTGCCGACAGGAAGATTGTGGGGAAGAAATTGTGTCCAGATATTACTTTATTTTACCATTGTTTCCTTTTATGGATTGTGGATGTTCATTGAAAAGTCCATGCAACTTGCATGGAATTATTATGTGTATTGTCTATATTATGTATCGTGTATACTATTGTCTATTGTGTAGTGGGCTTCAGCAGATCAGCATAGCTGCAACAGCATTTATTGGCTCAAAAATGGAACTGAGGAACTGCAGGCAAATGCCTGTGATTGATATGCTAGGCCCACAGGGCCTTAACCAATCATAGAACTAGAAAAAGCCCACCCAAATATAAATCTTCTACATTTCCCTCCAAAACAGTTGAGGTCATCTAGGAGTTAGTTTCACTTTAGCACAGTTAACAGGGCCATCTAAAGGTGGAATGTGGTGGCTCAGTGGCTAAGACGCTGAGCTTGTCGATCAGAAAGGTCGGCAGTTCAAATCCCGTGTAATGGAGTGAGCTCCCCTTACTTGTCCCAGCTTCTGCCAACCTAACAATTCAAAAGCATGTAAAAATGCAAGCAGAAAAAAATAGGAACCACCTTTGATGAGAAGGTAACAGCGTTCCATGCGCCTTCGGCATGGTCACGTCAGTTGCTACGTGAAAAATTTGTTAACTGAGGTTTACCCCATTCTATGACTTTCCTTGCCTCAGTTGTTAAGTGAATCACTGCGATTGTTAAACTAGTAACATAGTTATTGGGTGAACCTGGCTTCCCTATTGACTTTGCTTGGCAGAAGGTTGCAAAAGGGGATCACATGAAACAACCCCCCCTCCTCCCAGGTCATAAGTATGAAACAGTTACCAAGCGTCTGAATTTTGATCACATGACCATGGGGAATGCTATAATGGTTGTAACTGTGAGAAATGGTCATAAATTACTTTTTTCAATGATGTAACTTTCAACAGTCACTAAATGAACTGTTGTAAAACTCTCCCTCTCCTCCCCCCTCCCCCCTCCCCTCTCTCTGATGCAGACAACAGCTAGTGTTAGATCTACCTGACACTTGAAGGGGGAGTTCTCCCCCCTTTTTTGCACACCCAAATTTTATTTCTTCATTTTCATTGTTAGTGTTGGATTTTTTATTTTTCTGTTTTGTATTTTATTCCTCTCAATACATGAAAATAAGTACGTTAAAAACCAGAAAGATTTTGCTTGCTGCCCTTCTGCAAACTCAATCTTTCCAATGGTAGAAAGGCTTGTTCAGCCTTCAGAAAGTTGCCATTCCAAGTGTATAGACCAGGGTTGTCAAACTTAAGTAGCCCAGGGGCCGGATCCAGCTCACAGGGTGCTTAGATCTGGCCTGTGGGGCCACCCTGGAAAAGTGACGGATCGGCCCGCGGTGCCTCTACCAGCGAAAACGGAGCCTGGGAGGGTTGCGTGTGGCCCTCCCGAGCTCCGTTTTCACTGGAAGAGGGTTGCAGGAGGCCGTCGCAGCTGAAAACGGCACTCGGGAGCCTGTTTTCGCTGGCAGAGTGCTTGGTCCACCACAACCGCCCCTGAGACGACTGATGTCAAGTTGGCCACACCCACCTTGCCCCCTCCCCAAGGTCAAACTCAACCTTCATGCACCCTTCAATGAAATTGAGTTTGACACCCCGGTATAGACTGTAGAATGTGTGGAATAAAATTTTTGATCTCTCCTATGACGTAAAGACCTCTGACGTTTCTTGGCAAATCTCTTATTTTTCTCTGTTTGAGATCTTTTTGCCCAATAAGCAGATAATTTGTGGTTCCCGTTGAGTGATTTCCTCTTTTTCTCAATCCAGTTCCAGGATCCAAGTCCAACTTGTGGCTGATCATCGGCAGTGTTGTGGGTGTCCTCGTGGCATGTGGAGTTGCTGGGATCTTATTATGTCTCAGTAAGTATCCTTTTCCGGGTGATTGAAATAAGATGGGCGATTCCTCCCCTGCGTCTTCTGTTGGAGAGCTAGCTAACTTGTTTGCTTACCTGCTGCTTGTATATTTGTTCCTTTATTCATTTATTCTTTTCACAAATAAGGCAGTAAACATTCCTTCAGCACACCTTCCTCCTATTTTTCCCCCATAACGATAACCCTGTGAGGTGGGTTGGGCTGAGAGAAAGTGACTGACCCAAAGCCACCTAGCTGACTTTCATGGCCAAGGCAGGAGTTAAACTCATGTATGGTCTTCTGCTTTCTACTCTGGTGCCTTAACCACTGGACCAAAAGGCCTCCTCCTCCTCTTCTTCCTCCTTCCTCCCCTTTTCCTTCTCCTTCTTCCTCTTCTTCCTCTCCTCTTTCTCCTTCCTTCTTTCTCCTTTTCTTCTCTTCCTCCTCTTCTCTTCCTCTCCTTCTCTTTCTTCCTCCTTTGACTTCCTTCCTCCTCTTCTTCTCCTCCACCTTCCTCCTCTTTTTCTTCTTTCTTTTTCTTCTCCTCCCCCCTTCCTTGTTTTCCCAGCCCTCTTGGGGAGCACCTGAGATCTCAGCCTCTTGCTGGAACTCCAGCCTCAATCCAGTTGAGTCTGAGGTTTGGACAGTCCTTTCTTCTTCTGAGTTGGGAAGAGGCATCACAGATCTGCCTCTTTCAAAGGCTTTGGTCAGAGAGAAGGGCTTCAATGAAAACGTCCCTACTCTCCCAGTTGCTGCTGCTTTCCCCATTTCCCTTCCATCCAGGGGAAGGGTCCATTGATCATTGATAGTCCAGGGTTCCATTTGTATCAAAGCAAATATCCTGGGTTTCTTCATGCTGAGCAATGAATGCTTGGATGATATTGGAGTAGGCCTGTTTCCATGCGTTGAGTGAGATTGACATGCTTTAGTTCCTGGTGGGTCAGCAATGTCTTTCAGTTGGATCCAAGAAGTGTGCTATCTCTGTTGCTGCTCCCCAACACACACACACACACACACACACACACACACACACACCCAAGATTTCAGTTCCCAAACCTGTCTTCCCTTTGGAGGGTATCAAACCCCTATGGGATTCAGTGGCTAAGACACTGAGCTTGTCAATCAGAAGTTCGGCGGTTCGAATCCCTAGCGCCGCGTAATGGAGTGAGCTCCCGTTTACGTGTCCCAGCTTCTGCCAACCTAGCAGTTCGAAAGCACATAAAAATGCAGGTAGAAAAATAGGAACCACCTTTGGTGAGAAGGTAACAGTTTCCGTGCGCCTTCGTCATTTAGTCATGCCAGCCACATGACCAGGGAGATTTCTTCAGACAGCACTGGTTCTGCGGCTTTGAAACGGAGATAAGCACCACACCCTAGAGTCGGGAATGACAGCACATATGTGTGAGGAGAACTTTTGCCTAAACACCTATATTTCCCCCCAGGCCTTGGGAAGCTCTTTTCAGGCACCAACTGTTGTGATATGCAACTTTTGAAATGGGGTCCAGGACAAATTGCTGTGGCCAAATTGCCATGGCCAATTTAGAGTTTAGGACAAGATTAGAGTAAAATCGAAGAAGTGGAGGAATTAGAATCATTAAAGAAAGGGTGCCATGGAAGGGACAAAATGAAAGGCGAATGACAAAAACTAAAACAATTTTTAAATTATTTGAAGTACTGTATTTTTCAGAGTATAAGACGCACCCTTTTCCCTCAAAAAAAGGGTGAAAATCTGGGTGTGTCTTATACACTTGAGGTGGCAGGCTGAACCAAAGTAGGCCTCAAGCCTGAACCAAACGAGAGTCTCATAATATTAAGCTTCAACTGTTCATATATAGAAATTGCAAAGGTTTGCTTTTAGGAAGTCTGCACGTGAAATCTGCTGAACCAAAGCCTCTATTTTAATCAATCTGCTGGCTTGGCTGTAAATCTGTTTGGTAGACACATTGTCAGTTCCTCAAAATACGAGCTACGCTGCTCAAATAAACCTGCGCAAATAAACTATTCCTTCCCTGAAGACCTGGCTTGCATGTCCTGTTTTTTCTACAACACACTGAATACAGTATTTTTGGCCTGCCAAAATCTCACCCCCTTCACCAAAATGGCCGTGCATAGCCTTTAGGAGGCTTTAGAGTGTTCCTGGGGGCTGGGCAGAAATCAGCGAAAAACGGGGAGTTTTCTGCTCGATTTTGCCCCCCAGCCCCCAGGAGCACTTTATAAGCCTCCTAAAGGCTATGCATGCCCTTTTTTTGCAGGGGGGGGGGGAACTGACCCGTTTTCATGAAAAACTGGTCATTTTTGGGATGTCTGCAGAGTGCAATTTTTTTTTTTAATTTGCCTCTTCAAAACCTTGGTGTGTCTTATACCCCAGTGCGTCTCCTAACAAGGGCTTCCTCCCTCTTCTTGTCTCCCTTTATTCAATCTAGAATTCAAGAAAGGAAAGGATGAGCCAAGGAGGGAACCTGGTCGTGAGTAGAATTATTACCAAATGTTTGATTTCTATGTTTTGCATCTGAGAATCAAGTCAGGCTGTGACTTGAGAGCAAACACTAGCAAAGATGTCAGGTAGGGTAGGGGGACAGTCCAGACTCAAAACTTTCTCAGAAGGACATAAAATGGGCTGCTTGGAGCCCCTCAGGTAGATGTATTTGTTTATTAAATTTTTATAAGTATCTTTATAAGTAACATCTCCAACAAACCTTCCTCCTCCTATTTTCTTCACAATAACAACCCCGTGAGATAGATTGGACTGGCCCCAGCAAGCTTCCGTGCCTAAGGCAGGACTAGAACTCACCGTCTCCTGGTTTCCAGCCTTCACTACTAGACCAAGCTGGCTATAGATTGGAGCCCCTGCAACCAGCTGCTCTGCAGTGACTATTTGGCTCCAGTTCTTTCCTTTTAGACTAGGGATGGAATGAAGTTGTGGATTTTGAAGGGCTCCTTTTGGCAGCCTGATGAGAAGTAACAGATGAGGATGATATTGGCCACAGTTCCTTTTCTGGTCTCCTGTGAATTGCAATTCAATCAATTTTGGGGCACGGAATCACAGAATTTGGTTCCTGGTGACCTTAGAGTCAAAGAAGGCTCCTCAATCTCCTTAGCTTGGTTGAAGCTCTCCAAGAAGATTTCAGCCACCTCTGCCTTCTCCTCATCTTTTTTTTCTTTTATAGATGAACCTGTGACCAGTTGCTGAGCAATCGTCTGAAAGTACAGTGGACCTCCTCAGAGGTACTTAACAATCTGCTTCCAAAATGCCGATGGCTAGATTTAAAACCAGAACTTTCCTATTAGGAATAATGAAAGAAAAATACAGTAAAGGAGTGACATATTTAATGCCGCATGTGTTAACTGCAACCAGATTGGCATAGGAACAAAATTGGAAAAAGAGAGATGTCCCCACCGAAGAAGAGGTAATAAAGAACATTTTGATCTGTGCAGAAATGGACAGACTGACACTAGAAGTCAAAAAACTAGAGACGAGACAGAATATTATGAACTTTGGAACAAAATGTATCAATGGCAGGAAATGAGGAAAAGGAGTCGGAACAGAACATTTTGAGGACTGTAAAACTGGAAGTGGATAATAGATAGATAATATATATAAAGGAGGATAGGGGATGTGTTAATAAGATTAATGTAGCTACTGTATTTTTTGGAGTATAAGACACACCTTTTTCCCCTCAAAAAAGAGGGTGAAAATCTGGGTGCGTCTTATGCACTGAATACAGCATTTTTTGCCTCCTGAACTCTCGCCCCCATGAGCAAAATGGCCATGCAGAGCCTTTAAGAGGCTTATGGAGTGTTCCTGTGGGCTGGGGGGGGGGGAAATGAGCAAAAAACAAGCCGATTTTTGTCCCTCCCCAGCCACCAAGAGCACTCTATAAGCCTCCTAAAGGCTATGCATGCCTTTTTTTTTGACAAAAAATGGGTCCATTTTTTTTGCTTGTTTTGGGGGAGCCCCCACTCCCCAAGAGCACTCTATAAGCCTCCTAAAGGCTATTCATGCCCCGCCCTTTTTTTTTTTGAAAAAAAAAAAAGGGCCCGTTTTCGCGAGGTCTGCAGAGTGCAATTTTTTAAAAAAAATTTGCCTCTTCAAAATCTTGGTGCATTTTATATTCCAGTCCGTCTTATATTCTGAAAAATACGGTGTGCATGATAAGCAGAAATTGTATTTGTTGTGTTAAAATATGTATGGAAATGACAAAGCCAGAAAGGCTGCTCTATGTTCAATGTTTTTAATGTTTATTCAATTAAAAAAACTTTTTTTAAAAAATGCTGACAGCTGCCCACCTCCCTCACCTCTCCATAGCATTTATGGCTGTTTGCAGCTGCCTGCAGTCACCGTGTTTTACGATGTTTTTGTCTGCATTTCCTTGCAGTTTTCAGCCAAACCAGCCCATAGTGAACAATTTGACTGCCGCAAAAAGTAATATCAGGAGTCGGTCAACACGGATGACCTGTTTTTATGAGCATCATGACAATGGACAGTCTCAATTATGGCCATAAGTTGAAAACCTCCCTCTTCCTCCCTCCCCTTTGTCAAGGCAAAACACTTTTTTTTAAAGGGTTCTCGGTGCTCTCTCAGCTACCTGTCAGCACACCACACTCCTTACTGGCACTGATGACGTTACCTAGTCAGGTAATGAAACGTCTGCAAAAACACAAGCAAGCTCAGAGAACACCAAGGATTCCTTATTTTAAGCCTGAGCTGCAAATATTCTCCTTTATTGGTGCATTTTATTTTATTTCACCACCTAAATGAAACCCGTGTAAGTTTTGAGCTGGGGGACAACTGATCCCGAGAAGGAAGCCAAGGTGCATCCAAGTTAGTCAGAGTCCCACTCCAGCTTAAAGTTGCAGCGGCTTGACTTTTGACTGACCAAGATGGACCTCGGACTCCTGGGTTGTCCACCTCCAGGAACAAAACTAGATGGGGTTTTTTGTCATTGTAGCTCTGTCACTTTGATGTGCTTTGCAGCATTGAATTGACCTTCGCTTGTCCTGTGTTTTCTCCGCAGTCTGAAGCGAGATGGGAGCACAGGAAACGTTCCCACGTGGCTCTTGGTTCATGTCAAGATGATGACTTCCTGGCTGTGGAGGAGCTATTCGGAGTCCAATCGAATTGACGAAATGTTTGCAAATGTATTCAGATGTTTCTAAGCTTTTTAACCGCTGGGATATTTAGCAAGTAGCAAAAGTTACGCCGAGTTCAACACAGTGTGGTAAACAAAACAAGGCTAACAAATCAAGGGGGCTGTGTTCACGCAGCTGCTGCCTCAGAAGAAATAAATATATAGTTTAAGATGAAGGGCTGCTTGGTACAGCAAAGACTAAGATGAACAGCCAAGTTGGTTAATGCACAATTCAAGCTTAACTTAGCAATCTCTGTGAAGTGAGTCTTAAGGTTTCAGACAAGACAAAGAGGTGACAATGGAAGGAAAGTTAGCAGAAGCTTCTGGGCTGGGATATAAATCCAGTCTGGCTACCTCCAAGTCTTGCCTTTAGAACAGTGTTTTTCCGTCTTGGAATTTTAAGATGTGTGGACTTCATCTCCCAGAATTCCCCCTCCCCATGGCGTTTATGGCTACTTGCAGCTTCCTGCAGCCCCAGGACCACATTTTAAGAGGTTTGCAAGATCCCATCTGGGTCGGCCACGTTCACTCTGGCTGATCTATTCGGACTGCAATTGAATTGATGAAATGCTTGAAAAATGTATTTGGATTGACTGTAAGCTTTTTAACTGCTTGGAGGTTTAGCAAATAGCAAAACCTAGGCTGAGTTCAGCACAGTGTGGTTGTGTTGGTTGTGAGGTTAACAAACTGGGTCGGTCGTGGTCATGTCGATGACTTCTTGGCTGGCTCAGGAATTCTGGGAATTGAAGTCCACAGTTCATAGGAATAGCACTTAGACTTATATACCGTTCCACAGTGCTTTACAGCCCCCTATAAGTGGTTTATAGAGTCAGCCTGTTGCCCCCAACAATCTCGGTCCTCATTTTACCCACCTCGGCAGGATGGAAGGCTGAGTCAACTCGTGAGGTTTGAACTGCCAAATTGCAGGCAGCCGGCAGTCCGCAGATGTAGCCTGCAGTACTGCACTCTAACCACTGCGCCACCGTGGCTCCTCATAAAAGAGCCAATGTCCCCCACCCCTGTTTTAGAGGACGTAGGGGTCATATTGACTTCAGGGTTCCTCTGGAGCCTCTTTCTTGCCGCTTCTCCATTGTCCGTCCTCCGGGGCTTCCGATTGTGTGGGGCCAGGAGGGGCACTGCTGAAATATTGGAAAAATATTACGGGCACAGTCCCCAAAATTCAGGCACAGACCTTTCAAAGAAAGGCACTGATAACTGACAAGATTCCTAAGAATCTTAATAAATATCTGTTAATGGAAATGTGATCTCTTTTGCACTGCACCCTAGCAATACGCTGGGTTCTTTCCATCTTTTCTCTTTAAATTAACCTTCCAGTTCAGGGGTCACCAACCTTTCGGACCTCAGGGACCACTAAATTCATAATTTTAAATCCCGTGGACCACTAATATGAATTAGTAACGGGATGGGGTCCTTCAGGCACTTAGCTTGGCCGCCTGTTAGCGGAAAGAAGTGCCCGGGCTCAGCCCTAGGGTTGCTGTCCATTGCAGCTAAGAATCTCAAATATGGCCAAGAGTGAATGTTTGTCTTGCAGCCAGCCCGGGCGCTAGATCGGCCCCTTGCAAACTCTGACTCTCGAGGAGCCCGGGTGAAGTTTTGTGCACCACTCAATGAAGCGCCTGGACTCCCAGGGAGGGAAGGAAGGACTGGAGCTATTAAACAGGCAGCCAAGCTAAGTGCCTGAAGGACCCCATCATGTCAGCGAGCGGGAGTAACTGCTTCGGCAGGCCGTATCCAGCCCAGGGGCTGTAGTTTAAGGATCCCTGATTTAGTGCAATATAAAAAATGCAGAAATGCAAAAAAAAATTCTAAAGGCCACCAGTGGTCCATGGACCACCAGTTGTTGACCACTGTTCTAGTTTATCCTTACCTCCCCAAATACCAAACTATTATTGATTGCTTCTTCATTCTCCCCCCCCCCCCCCCCCCACATCCCACCCCGTTGGCCCAGCCCCATTTCCTCCCAGCTGCTCTCCAACTCTCTTTGGTTGATAGTATTATTCATTATTAAATGTGAACAATGCCAAGCTACTCTAGTACAGGTACTCCTCGAGTTACGACCACAGTTGAGCCCAAAATTTCTGTTCCTAAGCGAGGCAGTTCAGTGAATGTTGCCTCATTTTAACCATCTTTCTTGCCACGATCATTAAGAGAAGCACTGCAGTTAAGTTAGTAGCATGGTTGTTAAGTGAATCGGTCTTCCCCCGTTGGCTTTACTGGTCAGAAGGTTGCAAACGGGGATCACGTGACCCCGGGACACTGCAACAGTCGTAAATATGAGCCAGTTGCCAGGCATCCAAATTTTGATCATGTGACCACGGGGATGGTGCAACGGTCGTAATTATGAAAAACGGTCAGAAGTCCCTTTTTCAGGTGTTGTAACTAGGAATGGTCACTAAACAAATGATTGTAAGTAAAGGACTACCTGATTTTGGAGCCCCAAAGACTAATAAGCTCAGGACTGTCTCAGCATTAAAATATGTTGGAAAAATAAATCTCTGGCCTTTTTCACTCAATGGAAGGAAAATTGGACTTGTTCACTATGAGCAGACTGCCTGCCCATAGATCAGAGGTCTTCAAACTTGGCAACTTTAAGACTTGTGGACTTCAACCCCCAGAATTCTCCAGCCAGCTATTGAAGTCCACAAGTTTTAAAGTTGTCGTGTTTGGGGAGCCCTGCTATAGATATATATGCAGCCTATAGTTTGTATGGATAAGTGCAATGAAATATGGGACTCACTTATACAGAATGCAAAAAATAGTTATATAAACATGTCGGGAATATATTTTGTCTTGAATAATTTTGCACTATAAAATGTAATTACGGAATTATATAACTTTGCCTTTGCAAGTATATGTAGAATAACATGTGACATAATTTTTTTGTTGCAGCTCTTCTTATTTACATTTTTTCTTTCCCTTCAGCAATGTATCTACCGCTGTTGATATTATTTTTGTCTTTTGTTTATTTTTATAAAAATACAAAGTGCGCACTGCCAACCTGCTCCGGCATATTAGTGTCACCTGGATGCAATCTCTGTTTTAAGATGTAGCTTAACTCGGAGCTGCCCCACTTTCAGAATGTCTTCCCCGATTAAGAAACCTTATGCCCAGCATGGTGGTTGTGAAAATAAAATGAAGGGAAATTTAAGAAAAAGCCATATATATATATATACAGAAACCCAAGGCAACAGTAAAAAATATTGGGTTTCTGTCTGGATGGTCTCTTGTGACGAGCCGAATGACAGAGAATGGAAGTAGTGAACTTCCTCCCATATTTGGGCATACCGGGGGTTGTGACTCTAATTATATAACTTTCACCCTGGCCTCGCTCAGTGGTTAACACATCTGCCTAAGAGGCAACACAGCACAGGCTCGATTCTCAGTAAGGGTATGGCTAGCTGATGAGAGCT